CTGTGAGCTCCAGCGCTGAAGGCCCGTGTTGAGGTAGGACCTCTGTGAGCTCCAGCGCTGAAGGCCCGTGTTGAGGTAGGACCTCTGTGAGCTCCAGCGCTGAAGGCCCGTGTTGAGGTAGGACCTCTGTGAGCTCCAGTGCTGAAGGCCCGTGTTGAGGTAGCATCTCTGGGAGCTCCAGCACTGAAGACTATGTTGAGGTGGCGCCTCTGTGAGCCCCAGCGCTGAAGGCTCGCGTTGAGGTAGGACCTCTGTGAGCTCCAACGCTGAGAGCCCATGTTTACTGTATTTGACTCTCCCTGCCGGCCCCTGGAGGATGGGCTCCCTCTTTGAGTTTCTTCCTTCTCGGGAGTTTTTCCTCGCCACTGTCGCCTATGGCTTACTCACTGGGGGCTTTGGGTGGGGATGCTGTAAAGCGCTTTGAGGCGATGTAATGTTGTGATAACACGCTATACAAAAATTAATTTGTTGTTGTTGAGGTCCGTGTTGAGGTAGGGCCTCTATGAGCTCTGGTGCTGAAGGCAGGATGTGCATTGGGCTTTAAAGTAAGCTGGGATAGAGTAGGAGAGAGCTCTTCAATGTGACGCTGAGTCTCACTCAACTCCCTCCGGTGGCATTTATGGAACCCAGAGGTCAGCTCTCCCGACCAGGATATTAAAGCTGACGATTGCGGCGGTATTCCCAAAGTCAGTCATATGCAAACACACACAAACAGCACTACTCTCAGATGGTTTCTCACCACACGATCGCACCACATGATTGGTGCAAGTAGTAGCTGAGATTTCCAGTTTGCTGTGGAAATGAAGCCCACTGACCATTTACCTTGTATGTATTTAGCAGGCATTTGGGCTGTCGTACGCAGCCGACGCCCACACCGTGTTCCAACGGTGGACGCCCTGAGGCCCTGTTCCTCCGGGGCGGAACTGCTTCCCTTCGCCTCCTCTCGACAAACCGGAAACGGGAGCGGGAGAGTTTACCATCAGCCATTTTCACCCATAAAGCCCTCCGAGAGTGATCAACTTAGTGGAAATAATTAAGCCTCTTAATTAACTTTTTTAAATCGTCCGGTAATTAGAGATGGGCTGTAGCTGGCTAACTGCTGAGAAAGGTAACATCCGGGGGGGGGGGCAGGGGCGTTTCCTTTACAGCCCATTACCCTGCTCTCCCATAAACCCGCACGCCTGCCAAGTCGTTTGCTGATCCCGCCTCTCTGGTGATGAAACATAATTATTACGGGACAGTAAAGGTCAAAACACCGGCTTGAGGACGCTTTGGCAAAGGCGGGGGTTAAAACTTCGGAAAGGGCAACCCTTGGTCAGACCTCTCGGACTATCGGTCCACACCATTCAAAGCAAAAGCATGATGTCATTGCACAGCTATTTTGCGAACATGGCCGCCTTCCAGACATTTCTTATATAACATATATATATATCTATATTTTTGTATGTTCTGCCGGAGCTGGCAGTAAAAGGCCATGGAGTGTGAAATTAAAATGTGTCTCACATTTCTGTGCATCATTTGACGTCCTTCCCTCCGGTACAAATGTTCTTAGGTGTCCGTCTGAAAAATATCTCGAAGCTGCTGATTAACATACGGGAGAAAAATAGCGACAGTTTATCCGGCCGTATAATTTCCAAATTGCTGCGTGTGCACGGCCGAACGAGCTCTGCTCCCTCTCCGGCCCCCTCCCTGCCATTAATAACGTCTGCACAGCATTAGCTCTGTTTTCCTACTTTATTACTCAGGACGGGAATCTGCACGCCGAGGGCGCCCCGACCGTTAGCGGTAACGGGATCCAGCGTGGCCCCGGGGCCCGTGTTTGCTTAATAAACTGCTCCCTGTACCACTGTTTCTGTTCACTTTAGGAGCCCCCGCCGGCTCTGTTACGGGGGCCCCCGGAGGGAGGAAAGTGAGACTTATGTGAGGAATCTAGAGTCTCAGATGAAACACACACACCGTTAATGTCCTGTGAGGAGAGAACTGACAGTCTGAATGGATGAAATTATACTGGTTTGGCTGGTCCTGCATGGCTTTGAATATGCATTTGTTGGGGAGAAGGTCTGCAGTGTATAATTGCAACTTTATTATTAGATTACATAGAGAATTAATCAGTGGAATGGAAATTAAGCATGATGTGGGAATTTGATTGGTATAGAGATGTGTAAACTGCACTGGTAGTATGGTACAGGAGCCATCTGAAGGAGGAATAGTATTTAATATGCATTTGTGGGGTAGAAACTCCTGCTGTGTGTAACTGCTACTTAGCTCAGAAGGAAGACTGATCAGCAGAATGGAAATTATGTGTGATACAGGTATTAGGACAGAAACACAAATCTAAGTGTGCGATATGAAGGGGATCTTCTGAAATCAACGTTTTAATGTGGGAGGGTTCGCAAAAACTGCCTGACTGCTAAAATCCATAGTTTTGTTTTTTTTTCCCCTAACCTTCAAAGTCACCTGCAGCATGGATGTTGGTTGTACGAAATGCCGTTTACGAGTAACGTTACTCTCAGGAAAGCACTGGAGTGTTTTGAAGCCCCTCTGATTTATTTACTTTTTTATGGGATGTGCTGAAGACTGTGTGTGGAGATCACCCAAGCTTCTGTCATAGTTTATGAATTCAGATATAGTAATAATTGTCTCTCTGCCTGTGTACTTCCGATAATAATAGTTATGAGTGACTTAAAAAATATTCACTGCTTTACCGAGTCAGCGGACAGAAGCTAATGGGACATCCGCTTGTTGATGTCGACGGCGAGTGACAAAGGATGGTAATTTATTCAGGATCTGCATTCGCACCAGTCCGTGTTTTAACGCTTATGTCCGCACTCGACCCTTTAGAGCGGTTGTTGAACGCAGCGGTTTCTGTGTCGAGCGGTTTCGGGGTGTCTGCCAGCTTTACGTGGTAATTCTCCCACGGATACGGTCAGCCACACTCTGCCGCTGCATGGATACCCCTGATCTCCACACCGCAGAGGAACTGGTGAGAGGAACCACGGGGTTAGTGGTTGAGCAGGGAGCCATCTCCGCTACCATCGGCTAGAGGTGATGAAATGACTAATATCTGACCTCTTCAGCGTGGGATTAATCTGCAATAATAAGAGGAGGAACTGAAACTGTATATTTAGGGAGTGTGTATTGTATGTTTTGTGGGCTAGGGTGTGTCAGGAAGCTGCCCGAAGGGGGGGTAGTGGATGTTCCCTTTTTTTTTTTTGCACAGCGGCAGTTCCCGTGTCACCCCGGGGGGGGGGGTGTTGTGATGGAACATCAGCTTCAGCCGATGCTGTCTGATCACCAAAACGTCCTCCACGAGGCCCTTCTGTTATCCTCTGCAATTTTCCATTTTGTTTCAGATTGCCCCGGCCCCCCCCCCCCGGCCCGTCGCAGCTCAGTCGCGGGGCTTTTGGTCACCGTTTCTGGTGACACTTTTTTTGTCGCTTTTAGGAATACTTGGTTTTACGCAGACGTTTCCTCCACCTCAGACATCACCGTAAGGTTCATGCTGACCGGGTGCGATTCCATTCACACGCTGAGCTGTATGCTGGGCAGGTTTGAGTCTGTTCTTTGTCCAGTGCTGGTCAGTTAATAAACATGCCTGAGTGTGCAAGTTAAGCAAGCGGGGGGGGGGTCGTGCTACGTAAACCGTTTGCCAGAAGTTTAAACTGGCGTTCCAACCAAACAGCACACAGCGTGCTGATAACCATAGAGATGGGGGTGCTAATGCCAGTACTAACGGTGTGAGAAGATGAGGAGTGTTAAAGAGGGGGGGTGGTCACTCCCGTGCCGTGGGCCCCGCATGACAGCAGAAATATTCACGTGTAGTGTCGTAACCAACCCTTCTAATTAAATGAATTTAAATATGAATGTGCGTGCACGTTTACTGTACAGTTCGCTTTGTAGCCACGTCACGTTCTGCTGTTACATGCTTTGGAGACGCCGTCGCTCCTCGGAGTCAGAGTCAGAGTCAGAGTCAGAGTGAGAGTGAGAGTGAGAGTGAGGACACCATGCTGTGTGGTAACAGCAGGAGCGCCGTAAACCTGTCACCACATGCCCGCTGGTCTTCATGCCGTCAGGGACGCGGTGTCCTCACGTCCAGCCCAAGCTGCCCCGAGCTCTGATTTGCGATCAGTAAAGAATATTGTTCACACGTGACGTTATGTAAATGACATTTACAGTGAGGTGGAAGTCTTCTGGAGGTCCTGGAAGACGTCCTCTGCGAGTTTCCAGTCACTTAGAGCCACCCTAACCCCCTCAGTGGGACTTGCACGCTCCGTCCGCGGGGATTGATGGCTTGAGTCTGTCGCTCGCAGCTCGAGGTGGTGTCGATCGTCAGCC